CGGACCCCCTCAACACCTTGGCTGCGCCTAGAAATTCTGTCCATAAATGTTATGAACAGAATCGGTGACAAAGGGCAACCTTGGCGGAGTCCAACTCTCACCGGTAACAAGCCCGACTTACTGCCGGAAATGCGGACCAGGTTCTGACACCCATTACAGGGACCTAACAGCCCGTATCAAAGGGCCCGGTACCCCATACTCCCAGAGTACCCCCCACAGAGTTCCCCGAGGGACGCGGTTGAACGCCAACAACAGAACACCACTCGGGTTCAGATCAGGGGGCCATTCCTCCCAACCACCAGTGGTGGGATGTAACTAAGTACAAATACTTTGTTACTGTACTTAAGTACATTTTTTGTGTATCTGTACTTTACTTAAGTAGCGTTAAATGTGGGTACTTTATACTTTTACTTCACTACATTTTACATCAAGTATCTGTACTTTCTACTACACTACATTTCTATAAAGTGTTGCATTACAAGTTACATTCATGTTGCGGCTTTTTGATTTGTTTATTACTTTGAAAGTAACCAATGGTGAGAGGGGAGCTGGTCCAGTGAATCACTGCAAAGTGGGCAGGTAACGTTAGGCCCGCCTTCAAGAAGAGCTGGACCAATGACATATATTCTAGTATATACATCATTGAGCTGGACGCACCCACAGCACCACTAGCACACCCAAAATGTATTCCACAGCAAGAGAGTCACCCAGAAGATATGCGCCACCCATGGCCTTATTGAAAGACTGCTCAGTACAACAGGACAGATTCTCTCTCCCATAAGAGTCAGATTGGACTCAAAAAACTTTGAAAATCAACTTCTTCTGAACTTGAACAAGAAATTCTTGCTGCAATATTAAAATGTGTCAGTTCATGGGATGTTAGGAGACAAGAGATGTCTCCAAATGGCTTGACACTCAGGTCCAAGTTTTAAAAATGGTGTCAGAAAGTTAAAATATTCTTCAATATTGACCCATTACAAGGTTGAATAGACAGTATTTTAACTAGTGTTGATGACAAACTGGAGTTGAAATATCAGTTGAAAGGATCAGAGCCTGTTCCTTTGTTAGTTGTGTCTAATGCTCCTTTTGTTCAGGCAGACAACTTTTACTTAAATGTGTTTACTGCAGTTAAAATGACACATTGGTTTTGATTTGCGTTAAATAAAAACTTTCACAGGTATAATCATTCCTCTTTCTTATTTTGATTAATGGCATTTAACTCTGCATGTCATCCCTGAAATTCTGACGCACAGAATCACAAGTCCAAGTGTGAACTGTGTCACAGAGTAAACACAATAAAAACGTATTATCTGCAGCATCGTTCATTAAAATGGAACGACATTATTAATGTATTACAGAAAATATACATATGGTACTCTTTTCATATCAAATCTGGTTCAGTTTTGTCACACTTGTGTAAGAAACTAAATGAAAAAATGTAGCACCTGATAAGTGTTGTCGTTTGTATAAAAAGTGTCATTTACCTGCATCACGCAAAGGGTTTTTGTGTTTTATTTTTTTAAAGTGACAAAACTTTTGTTTGCACTTTTCTCTGCTAAATTCTATTTTGGGAGCCTCCTATTTGTTTATTTTCCCCCCTCTTTAAGTTGCCTCTCTGAATTTCCTTTTCAGGTTGATGCGATAAAAGAAAAGGTGAAAATTGAATTTATTTTCTAATCATTCTTTTTGACCCGTTTCCTGTGCCCTGTAGCTTTTTGATTGCAGGAGTAAACATAGCTGAAACTGCATGTCCCACCCCCACCTTAGTCACACACCTGCTTTTGATTGTAAACTTCAGTTGTCCACTAAACCAGGGGTCTCCAACCACCGGGCCGGGACCAGTACAGAGTCTTGGACCATTTGGGTCTGGTCCGCATAAAAAGAATACAAAGTTTGGTTCAGAATTTTTTTTTTTTTTGTCTATTTCCATTAGTCTGCATGGTATTTTATTTTGAAAATCACTTCCATCTCCGCAGTTTTAGCACTTGCTTGACTCAGTCGCAGTTTTTTTTTTCATGCATCTGTAAACTTTTAAACTAACTTTAGCAAAAATGAGTAAAAACCAATTATTGGAGAGATTCTTTGAAAAAGAACATACAGTGAGGAAAATAAGTCTTTGAACACCCTGCGACTTTGCACGTTCTCCCACTTAGAAATCATGGAGGGGTCTGAAATTTTCATTTTAGATGCATGTCCACTGTGAGAGACATAATCTAAAAAAAAAATTTAATCCAGAAATCGCAATGTAGGATTTATTTGTGTGTTACTGCAGCAAATACGTATTTGAACACCTGCCAATCAGCAACAGTTCTGGCCCTCAAAGACCTGTTAGTCCACCTCTAAAAAGTTCACCTCCACTCCACTTATTATTCTAAATTAGAAGCACCTGTTTGAGGTCGTTAGCTGCATAAAGACACCTGTCCACCCAACACAATCAGTAAGACTCCAACTACTAACATGGCTAAGACCAAAGAGCTGTCCAAAGACACCAGAAACAAAATTGGAGACCTCCACAAGGCTGGAAAGGACTAGGAGGCAATTGTCAAGCAGCTTGGTGAAAAAAGATCAACTGTTGGAGCAATTATTAGAAAATGGAAGAAGCTAAACATGACTGTCAATCTCCCTGGGACTGGGGCTCCATGCAAGATCTCACCTCGTGGCGTATCAATGATCCTAAGAAAGGTGAGGAATCAGCCCAGAACT